CAAATACCACAGCACTTTACAGAAAATGCCAGAGTCTTCTCTATTTTTTGAGGCGACTGAGGTCCTTCAACATCTGCCAGAAAATGTTCAGGATTTTCTTTGAGTCTGTTGTGGCCAGTGCGATCCTCTATGCTGTTGCATGCTGGGGGAGCAGGCTGAGGGTCGCAGATGCCAACAGACTTGATAAACTGATCCGTAAGGCCAGTAATGTTGTGGGGATGGAGCTGGACTCCGTCAAGGTGGTGTCGGAGAGGCGGATGTTGTGCAAGATAAAGACAATGTTGGATAACATCTCCCACCCACTCCATGACATGCTGGTCAGTCACAGAAGCACGTTCAGTGAAAGACTGAGATTACCGAAAAGCACCACTGAACGACACAGGAAATCATTCCTGCCTGTGGCTCCCTGTACAACTCATCCACTTAACACACTGTTTACTACAACAGCTACACTCTTCTTGCACATGTTATTTTCAGCTATTTATTAATAAGTGACTTTTATGTATACATATGCCTGCATATATCGTGCTATTCTTAGTTAGTGTATTGTCTGTCTTTGTAATGTTTGTTTATAATGGAGCACTGTGACGAAAAATAATTTCCCCTAGCGATCAATAAAGTATTCTGATTCTGATTCTAAACGGCGTATATTTTAAAGTAAAGGCTTTAAAACAAAGTAAACGCAGAAAGTACAAACATCGCTAATGGCAAATAACTTTGCCGACATGTGGTCAACAGTAATGTTTTAATGTTCTTCATTATTAAACATTTGCACATAAATAAGTGACATAATATTCATTACCCACTTTTAAAAGTTTACTCTTCGGCCGCCCCTCTTCCGATGTTTTCTTCGGCAAAATTATCCACACCCACTGCCGCGCTATGAAGTCTGGGATATGTTGCGCCATGAAGTCTACACCCCCACATCCTTAAAATTCAGGGGAAATGAAGGACGCATTTGAGCAGCCTTAATTATGACAGCCTTCGTTGCGTCGCTGTGACGTAATCAGCCATAAAATGTGGCCTTTAAGGCTGCAGACCCTGAATTGGGATACAGCCTGTGTTTTGGAGCCTCTGGTCTCATTTCCATCTTACTCTGGTACTTCTCATCTGTGATGTCATTGCTTGGTGGGGCCAGTTGAACAGGCACCTCAGTCTTGATTAGGTGGGTCAAATCTAGAAAACCATTGAGAAGATGCTAATTTAAAATGTTAGATAGAAAAATTAAATGGGGCATCACATTTCAGATCCTTACCACTGAAGTCGGCAGTAACAATGAGATTATTGTTCTTGAGGAAGCTCCTCCTTTGCAGATGTGAGTGGGAAATGAATGTGCTCCAGCCAAAGTCTTGACTGCGGAAGCATTTACAGCTGTCATCCCACACTGGTCAGGATGTGGCTGTTGGTTTGTTCCAATGAGCATGAGTGTCTGAGTGGTCAAAATAAGAATATTCATGTTTGAAACCTGGATGTTGGGGACACATTATTAATCCTTTATTTGTCCAGGTAAAAAATCTCATTGAGATTAAAAATCTCATTTCCAGGAGGAGTCTGTACATTGCCGAAAATGTACAGAGTTTGTCAAAACTAACAGAATTGTCAGAAATGGTTAAAAGACTTAATTCTTTAGCTAATGTCCTGCATGCGCTTGCAGCAGCCATAGACCAAAGTTAGCATTCATTTGAAGTTATTTTTTCAGCCTACAGCAAATACAATATTTAGGCAAACGTTTGCCTAAAGTGATCCACTGTGCACTGTTCTCCAGGAATAAGTCAAAGCTGTCTATAGTTTCTTGATTGTGAGGCAGATTATCCACAATTTTCATATCCTTTCAAGGTTTTCGTGACTGGAAATAAACCTTTGTATGGCCATAATTAACTGCAAAGTCAGGTGATGTGTTTGTTTTTTAATAAGTTTAATTTCACTAGCTGGGGCATGTTTGGAGGTGTGGTCCTGCTCCTGAAATTCCAATACATAATCTCCAATTCACTAGCTGGGCCCACCTCCTCATTTTAGATTTGACAGCGTTTAGTAGGTAAAGGTAAACACTTGGACATGAATTGAGCTTGAGGTTTGGGGAAGGCCTTGAAGGGGACTGACGATGGCTCCTGGGCCTGGCAGATCCCCAAAGAAGGCATCCAGAAGCAGTAATAAATGTGCAATATGAAGGTTGAAGACGTCAGTGTTAATAATTTGATTTTCAATTCAACTTATTTATACAGCACCGAGCCACAGTGACGGACACCTCAAGACCCTACAATGATGTCTAGAGGAAAAGCCCAACAATCGTATGACCTCCCATGAACGAGCACTTTGGCGATGGTGGGAAGGAAAAACTCCCTTTTAGCAGGAAGAAACCTCCAGCAGAACCAGGCTCAGGGAGGGGGAGCCATCTGCTGCGACAGGTGGGAGAGAGAGAAGGAGATCGGGGCAAAGACAAGCTCAGGGAAACCGAACGTCGCTCCATGGTGTGAAGTGGATGAGATTAAAGGAAACAATGGAAATCTTAATAGATGAATGAGGGGAATCCTTGATCAGGTAGCGATGTGGCTCGACTTTGAGCTGAAGCTCTGACAGAGAAGAATGCTGGATTTGAGATTTGAGGTAAGGCTTGACGGCTCAAAAAGCTTGTGTGAGCTTGTCTTTGAGTAGAAGATGGAGAGGTGGTGCTTAGCTGGTTAATTGCTTCAGATAAGGTAGCGATAACAACTGAGCTGATTTCTGAATGAACAGAAGTGACAGCAGCAGCTTGGGAAGAGTTAAGGAATTGAAAGACTGATTAGAGGAAAATAATCTTCTATAATAATAACCTCCAAAATCATCCAAGAGTAGAGAGATGATAAGCCATTTAGACGTAGTCAGAACCGTGAGTCGACTTAGAAAGCGGTCTTGAATGATTGTGTCGAGGGTGGATGCCTGATGATGCCAGTGAAAGCACGTGTCACGAAAAGCACATGAGAAGTGAAGGGATGCCATGAATAATTATACGCCTAGCATAGTTTGGATGTCTTGAAAAGAGCGATAGAGGACAGAACCTGGCATCCTGGTGCCACGAAGGTTTACCAGTGCTTTGTGAGGGCAGAAAAGATGGCAGCGAAACTGGCATCTCAGTGCCGGAACGGTTTGCAGCTACATCTTGTCGAAGACTGGACGAAACTGAAAAACTGGCCTCCTGGAGAGAGGATTTTTTTTTTTTTTTGCGCAAGTGATTGATGGCAGAAGCTGCCAATCCAGTGCCAGAAGGTTGAGCTGCTTAGCGCATGGGAATGGAACCTGGCATCTCGGGGCAAAGAGCTTTTTCTGCATTGCAAATGGGGAATAGAGACACGGAACCTGCCATCTTGGTGCTGAAAGGAACGTCTGCTGCTTAGCATGTGAGGGCTAGATGCAGAGAATCAGAATCAGAATACTTTATTGATCCCTGGGGGAAATTATTTCTGAAGCTGGCATCCCAGCGGTAGAAGGATTCACTGCTGCGTTGCTGTGATAAATGCAGAGAAACTGGCAACTTTATATTAGAAAGCATTCTGCTGCATTTGCGAAAGAGGGATACAGAAGAACCAGGCATCTCAGTGCCAAGCTTCCTACTGCATTCGTAAAGGAGGGACAGAGGAAGAGAAGCTGGCACCCTGTTGCCAACGTTTGCTACTGCATTTGCGTAGGGGCATAGAGGAAGAGAACGTGGCATTGTGGTGCCGAAAGCATGCTGCTGCATTTGTGAATGAGGGAATGAGGGATAAAGAGAAACCCTGGTGTCCTTGGTGCCAGAGGAGTTTACTACTGCTTTGCAATAACGGATGCAGAGAAACTGGCAACGTGGTGGAAGTTTGCTGCTGTGATTACGAATGATGGATATAGAAGGAACTGGCTGGAAGGATTCTCTGCTGCTTTTGCCATGATGGATGGATAACTGGCAACTCAGGGGTAAGAAGCTTATCCCTGCGGTTTGCACATGGCAGATATAGCAAGAACCTAACACCACGGTGCTAGAGGGGTTTGCAGCTGCTTGCAATGATAGATGTGGAGAAACTGGCAGTTCAGTAACCCGGTGCCTTTTTATTTATTTATTTATTTTTTCTATCTAGAGAACTGCCAACCTGATGGTAGAAAAGCTGCTGCTGCTTTTGTGGATGAGGGATAAAGGAATCTGGCAACCCGGTGCCGACATTTCCTGCAGAGTTTAGCCAAGGAGGGATGAGAGGCTGGGAACCTGGCAACTCGATGCCGACGTTTGCTGCAGAATTTTTCGAAGGAGGTGTGGGTGGCTGAGAACCTGGCAACCCGGTACCGACGTTTGCTGCGGAGTTTAGCAAAGGAGGGATAAGTGGCCGAGAACCTTGCAACTTGGTGCCGAAGCATACTGCATTTGCTACCGAGGGATGGAGTACTGGCAACTCTGTGGCCTTTTTCCCCCTAACTATGCTGATAAACTGGCAACTCAATAGTCAAAAAGCTTGCTGTTGCTTTTGCGAATGAGGGAGAAAGGAACCTGGCAACCCAGTGCCAACGTTTGCTGCAGAGTTTAGCCGCGGAGGTGTAAGAGGCTGGGAACCTGGCAACTCGGTGCCAAGGTTTGCTGCCGAATTGTTCAAAGGAGGGATGGGTGGCTGAGAACCTGGCAACCTGGTGCCGACGTTTGCTGCGGAGTTTAGCAGATGAGGGATGAGTAGCCGAGAACCTGGCAACTCTGTGCTGACGAAAAAAATCACGACGATGGAGAACAGTAAACAGTATGGTGTCACGGTGGGGTGTGCCGAAGTGTTTTGACTTCAGGACCCAGATGCAGATGCAGAGAGAGCGGCGTTGCAGGAGACGGGATGTGACTTTAACCAAAAGCAAGCTTTATTTAGCTGGTTGCAGACAAAACATGAAACTAAGAAAACAAAGAGGAATAAGATAAGATAACTCTTTATTGTCATTGCACAGTCATACATAGTACAATAGTACAATGAAATTGGAAAACTGTCCTACGTCAGCACTACATATAACACAACACGACCCGATAAAACACATCACAACGCAACACAAACAACACAACACAGTATAATAACTTAGTAATAAAAAAGAAGAAGTGTATGTGTATTGCACACTGTTATTATTGCACATTAATTGTTATTGCACCTTGTTATAAATATAAATATTATTATTGTTACTGTTTTTACCGTTGTTACCTCCCCCCCAAAAAAGTCCAGGGAGGTATCCAGTCAGGTCAGCTATTTGCATTGATCAGGGCTATTGCCCTGTTGTAAAAGCTGTCCTTGAGTCTATTTGTTCGGGACCTCAGCAGCCTGAACCTCCTGCCAGACAGCAGCAGCTTAAACACCCGGTGTCGTGGGTGTGTACAATCCCGTAGGATGCTGTGTGCCCTCTTGAGACAGCGAGTGTTGTACAGGTCCTTCAGGGAGGAAAGAGGATGTCCAATTATTTTTTTGGGCCATATTGATGACCCTCTGGAGTGCCTTTCTGTGTGCTGTGGTGCAGCTGGAGAACCACACCGATGCAATATGTCAGCACACTTTCAATGGAGCAGCGGTAGAAGACGGTCAGCAGCTCCTTCTTCAGGTCCATTTTTCTGAGGATTCTCAGAAAGTGGAGACGCTGTTGGGCCTTCTTTAAAACCACAGAGATGTTAGAGCTCCATTGGAGGTCTGTGTCTATGTGCACACCCAGAAACTTGAAACTGGAGACCCTTTCCACGCACTCCCCGTTGATGCTGACAGGCTGCAGCTCAGACTTCCTCCTTCTGAAGTCAACTACCAGTTCTTTTGTCTTGGTGGTATTGAGGTCCAGGTTGTTATCTACACAACAATCTGACAGCCTCTGAACGTCAGCTCTGTACGCCATCTCATCTCCCCCAGAGATGAGCCCCACCACGGTGGTATCATCTGCAAACTTGATGACTGCGTTGTCTGGGTGGGAACTAACACATGTGTGTACAGAGTGTACAGTAGGGGGCTCAGTACACAGCCTTGTGGAGAGCCGGTGTTAAGGCTGAGGGCTGAGGAAAGATGAGGCCCCATTCTAACTCTCTGTACACGGTCTGAGAGGAAGTCTCTGATCCAGCGGCAGGTGGTAGAAGGAAGTCCGATTTCCAGCAGTTTAACTATTAGTCTGTCCGGGAGTATCGTATTGAAAGCAGAGCTAAAGTCAACAAAGAGCAGCCTGGTGTAACGGCCCTGCACTTCCAGGTGAGAGATGGTGGTGTGGAACATTGTAGCAATGGCATCTTCAGTTGATCTGTTAGCTCTGTATGTGAACTACTATGAAACTCAGTGAAAAAACTATGAAGAAACCATGAACACTGAGTAACTATGAAACACAGTGAAGACAAAAACCTATGACACTCTATGACTGAGGGATAACAGTCAACGCGACGCTGAACACAGCAAGACTGAGCACTTAAATACACACATGAGGTGATCAAGGGAAGTGGAGACACATGAGGACACAGCTGACTAGAATCAAACATAATAACAACACAGGGGAGAGAAAAATTAACCACATGAACCCAGAACACACAATCTACTTCAAAATAAAACAAGAAACTAGACATGACAACACTAAGCTGACAGACCTAAAACACATGATAAATTAGACAAGAATCCAAACATTGAAGCCAAGGAAACAATAAATAATGTTTCAGAGGCCCAGGCTGTGACAGTATGGAGCTAGCGACACATTTCCAGCTTGCATTAAATTCTGTTAGTAGGAAGGAGCACAGAGCTGAGCTTCCGCCTGCTACCTGGCGCTGGCGGGTGGGTGGAGCTACGAAGTATGCTATAGCTTTGCTGTCGGAGCTGCGATGTGTTTGGAAGTGTGGGTTCAGCGCTGATGTCCGTTGGCTTTCCGGCTAACTCGCCGGCACACTGCACCTTCTGCAGAGATGTATTCCACCTGTGTGCAGTTCCTCCACTCTTGTACATCACCCTATGTTCCTCCCTCTTCCTTAAATGTGTTGTTCCTGCAGCCATTTTCATCCTTTTTGCTAAATCCACTACTATGTGTCCTTCTGCTGTTCTCTCCTTAAAACCATACCTACCCAACACCTCCTCATCTCCTCTGTTAGCTTCACTTACATCTCTTCTCAAGTCCACATCCCCCCTCCTGGGTACACTCAATTCCTCTATTTCTTTTCTAACTGACATCCAACCTGAGGAGTGTATGCACAGACATTCAATGTCACCAGCTTCAAACTCACACACTACATCTACCTACATTCGTTTCATCACTCTCACCTCCACACTCCTGCTTTTTCTTCTCTAACACTGCATCCTACCAGAACTTCCCGCTATTCCCTTCCTTTGTCTTCCTATAACAGCAGCACAGTTTTCATTGTGGCGGGGTTCTATAGGAGTTTTTCCCCTTAATAAAGTAAATAATCCTTTTAAAAACACATTTGTGTATTTACTCAGGTTATCTCTGTGTGACAAATATGCAAAAAAAAAACCTCCAAGAAATCAGGAAGTGAAAAATAGTTTTTCAACAACCCTCCACAGTTCGAAGAACCGCAACTTTCCATTTTTTAATTTTTGTTTGTGCATGCAAATTGTGACGTAAGAACCAGCAGTTGACCTGGTACACCATAGTCAGTAGAGACTAAAAGAAGAAAAAGAAACCACTTGTCTTGCTCAATCTATTGGTTAAACCAACCAGACTAGCAGACACAGAAAATAAAGACACAACAGAAACATTTCATCTGTGCTGTACCTGAGAGAACGTGTTAACTGTTGGGATGGTTTATGTTGGGAGTATGACTTGAAATAACATCATTTGAATGTCATTTTTATTCTGCTGAGAAGTTAAGCAAATGTTCCAATGAACATTTGCCTCGATGCAAAGCTGTTTGTTCAGACATTTGCTTCAACTTCATGAGGAAGCTTAAGGCATTTTCTATGAAATGCTCATCCTTGCTAATCTGCTTATTTAACAAATACCATAAAACGTGCGTATTTTCTTCATCCTGCAAACAGTGTCTGTGCCATCATCTGTCTTCACCCATACAACCAGCCTGTCCGCGGGGCCCCCTGTCATCTTGTAGAAGAACTGCAGACACTGAAGCTTCCTCTTGGGGTAGAGGATTCGAGGTTCCAGCATAGCAGACTCCTGAGGCTCCCCAGTCATAGTGTTGAAGTGCATGAAGTATCCAGCATCTAAAAAAACAAATAAATATAAGACAATCTATAATAATGTTTAATTCCCTCTGAAATTACAGTAAACATGAAGAGACATTATTCAGACCTCTGCATTGCCCCAGGAGTGTGTGATCCAGTGTGCCTGCAGAGCTCTGAGTGTAGACACACTTCACATCATCAGAGGCCTGGATCATCCCACAAATGCTTGCATACTCAAAGGTACACTGATCCAGCAGGGTGAGCGGCCCGGCTGTATGAGAATGAGAGGAGGGGTATGCACATAGGAATGTGTTTTACACAGTCCTATAGCTGTCAGATTTTTAAAAAAAAAGTCGACTCATTGAAGCCCAGTGTGACAACATATACATACAGCAGTTGCACATCCTGGTGAGCCTGAGGGTGTCCATATTGCTGAAATCAAGGTACTGGCCAATAAAATTGTAGAACTCTGGGATTTTGGTGGTGATAGTGGGGATGGATTCATTCTTGTTGGAGGAGAAGTGCCTGTAGTGCATGACGGACTCATAGTCGTATGCAGTGTTTTGATCAGTGATGAAGTCGTCATTGTATTTGTTGAAGTTATGTGGAAGTCCTGCAGGAAATGTTCTCTTATTTAATAAATGTTATCATAAAAAAGCAATCATAAATAACTGTACATTTGACACTTCAATTATGTGTCACAATACAATGCATCATAGCATTACACTATAATGATCGTAGCATGTATGTTTGCGTGTTCCCTGCCTCTTGTGCACAGCACAGGGTTTGCTAGTGTAACTATCTATGCAGCAGTACACTTTATCCTAATATTTTTTGAGTCAATTTCTACATAGAAAATGGCTGAAAAGAATGAAGGAACTACATATACCTGACGTAACCTGGTCCAGCCAGATGTTGTCCATGCGGGACTGTTCATGGTAAAATCCCAGAGCATGGAGCAGCTAGTGGCGTGTCCAGCGGGGTGGCCTGGGGGGGCACAGGCCACCCCCCCAACCAGACTGACCACCCCAGGTGCCACCCCGAAGCTAAAACAATAAAATTTAATGAAATATCAAATGTACGATTATGGTTTCACAGTGAAGCTCAGATATCCGAGGGTAAGTGAATGCAGCACCGGCTTCTGCATCATGTTAGCAAAGGTAGGAGAGCCAAGCACGAAAGACGGCACCGCAGAAAACATTTTTTCGGCGAAAGGTTAACAAGTTAACATAGCTGGACTAGCCGTCGGACATTTGCACGGTGGGCTGATGACTTATTTATTTATTTTTTGCATGAACAATGAGAGGTGGTGGATTGGCCAGATGCTGGCCGATGTGTAAAAATAACTCAGTTGTTTGACTTGCAGTCAAGCCAGCCTCCAGTTTGTTTTACGTTCCCTGTGTATCCCTGCCTCACCTTCCCTCATCCACCTGTTGCCTCTGTGGAAGCTCCGCCATAGCCACCAC